TGTGAAATAACTCCATGCGATTGAAATTTTCACTGTTGATTTGCTGCCACTCAAACTGTTTGAACGCTCACTGGCCTAGGAAAGCGAAGGGACAAAGTTCTTTGTAGTTATTGAATTTTGACACTTTATTGTTGGCCTATTTAATCTGTTTTTTTTTCTTATCCAAATTTACAGCCTTTAAATTTAAAAGCGGAAGTGCCATATTTGACATTTTTTGATATGTTCTAAGCGTGAAACACATTGTTTATTGTAAAACATTATTGGCATATTGTCAAATCTTATATATATCTATAGTAGTAAAAACAAAAGTCTTTCCTCCTTATCTGGTGGTATAGATTTTTCTCATTGGTTTATTCAGAATAGTTTTGTGGATAGCAGTGGTGAGTGGAGTCTGAGAGAGGAAAGACACTGTAGTTTTCCCATTTGTTTGGTGTGTGAGGTAATTAAAGCGTGCAGGTGTAATTGTCTTCTCTCCGGTGAGCTCAACGGAATTACAAAGATCAACTGTTAGAATAATCTTTTGCTTAAATTGATTCCGACCGACCTTGCTCTATGGACTAATTTAATTCTTGTAAACAAAACATGTAATTGCTTAATGTGGAATCCCCACTGACTTCTGCTGAAATCCAGATGCTTCTAAAACTGCAAGTGTTTTTTGTCCTGGGACATGTTACTGCTTTGTAACTTTAAGAATATCTAGTTAAAATATAATCAGAATCTGCAGTGTCATATGTGCTGCTGCTCACCACAGAAGACTTCATTAAGTCGGTATTCATAGTGGTAGTAGAATATGGCCTGTGTGAATAAAGTAACTTTTCCTGAAGTGAACTGTGTGGCCTGTATTTACATTTGAGATGCACTGATATGAAATTTCTGTGTAAATAATTTTACTTTTGGTTTTCAACAAGCACTATAATGATATGTGAAGTATAGCAAACAAAAAGATACTAACTATGGATAATTGATTCATTTTACATGGCCATAACACAACTAAATCAGACAGGGGCAATTACATTTTGTCTATTTTGCAATATTTAGCAGACACTGTTATGTAGAGCCATTCACAACAGAGTGTGGTAATGAAAGCTCTTATTGGTACAGCAGCATTCCTGCCAGGACTCTGAATCAAAACCCAGTGGCTATAGTGGCGTCCACTGTGCTGCATTTTAATGATTTTAAAAGAATAAAAATGCCCAGTGACTAAAGCAATTAGTGGCTATATATGCCTGAAAATGTACACAGGCTGAATTATCAGTTGTATTTGTTGGCTGTAATTCCAGTATTGGACCAATAATCATAGTTACATTTTCCTATGTATTGATGAGTAATACACTATGTGGCCAGAAGTATGCGGACACCCCTCCTAATAATAGCATGCACAAATCGCCTATCGTCTGTTGCATCACTCCCTACAGAGTTTGAAAGTGCCTCTGGAAGCAACATCAGTACAAGAACTGTGTGTCAGGAGCTTCATGAAATGGGCTTGTCTGACCGAGCAGTTGCGTGCCAGCCTAAGATCACTATGCACAATGGCAAGCCTCAGCTGGAGTGATGTAAAGCATGCCACCACTGGACACTGAAAATATGTTCTCTGGAGCAATGAATCACGCTTGTCTGGCAGTCTGGGTTTGGCTGGTGCCAGGAGAATGCTATCTGAGGACCTTAAATTCCAGTGAAGGGTAATGTTAATGCCAGAACATTCAAAGACATTTTAGACAGTTATATACTTTCAACTTTGTAGCAACAGTTTGAGGAAGGCCCTTTCCTCTTCCAGTATGATTGTGCTCCTGTACATAAAGCAAGGTCTATAAAGACATAGTTTGTTGAGTTTTGTGTGGAGGAACTCCAGTAGCCTGCACAGAGCCCTGACCTCAACCCCACTAAACACCTTTGGGATGAATTGGAATGTTGATTGTGAGCCAGGCCTGCTTGTCTAACATCAGTGCCTGACCTCACAAATGCTCTTTTCACTGAATGGGCACAAATTCCCACAAGCACACTTCAAAAGCTTGTGGAAAGCCTTCTCAGAAGAGTACAGGCTATTATAGCTGCAGAAGTGGGGGCAACTCCATATTAATGCCAGTGGTTTTGGAATTGGATATTAAACTCATAAAGGTGTGATGGTCAGCTTTGCACATACTTTTAGAGTGTATATTAGCCATCAATATATCATACACCCCTAACATTTAAAATGCAGAGCACAGTTTCTGTATAATTTAAGGGACAAATAGATGGACGAAGATCATTTAATGACTGCTGGCTGGGTGGTGTGAACAGCGGTAGTGCAGGTGATGTGGATTACTCATGGAAAGATCCTGTTCAGGTTCCTGCTGCTTCTTTTTTTGATGTTTAAATATTTTAAAAAGGGCGGTTATTGGAGTTGCACTTTTTTAAGTAGAGGATTTGTTCGGATCTTCAGTGGAGGGGAGGTTGCAGGCAGAGATTTTGTGTGTGTGTCAGTTCCTGAAGTGTGGTGTGTGAGCTGTGTGAGTGTTGGAGATGCTCTTTCCTGGGAATTTCAAGAGAAGCAGCCGCACTGATGGATGTTTTATTGATTCTAGAGCAGTGATGATGAGGAATCTTTGTAGATTTGTGTTATCACTACTGTTTAGTGGTGTTGGATTTCTGGCCGTGTTATCAGTTTCTGTGATCTGTCTTGGATGGCATCATATGCGAGGCTAGCTTTACATGGTGGACCCTTCATGTAACTAGTTATGGGTTGCAAGTTGTGTGACATAATTTCTGTGCAGGTTGAGATACACAAAATAATTCAAAAATAGTCAAGGTTGCATGCAACACATTCAGTTATTCTACTAGTTAGCAAGATGAGTAGTTTTTGTGTTTCATAAATTGTGTCACACCAGTGATATAAAAAGCTGTAATGTGCTATTTGCATATTTGTATTATTTCATTGATTAGAGAAAAAATGAATCACAGAGCTGTGTTTTACTATGTAAACCCAGCCTGGGGGTTTTCTCTGAGGGGTTTCTGGAAGTGTTCTGGAAAATGTGTTTGTTAAACATGAGCTTCAATCTGTGAACGTGACTGTGGTTCTAACCTCTATCAGGACAAAGAAATGTCTGATTTTATTTCAGTGGTAAAGAAACTGTGAAGTAGTTCATTTTTGTGTCGTGAGATTACTCTGCTTTTTTTCCTCCCACACTGTTGCTGACTGTTCACATTACTATTTCATTGCCAACTGTGGGATCAAATTCTTTCAGTCAAGATTATGGTAGGTCATAGCCGAACCATGGCTATCCAAATAGTGAAATAATATATTAAGAAAAGCTGTCCTTAATATATTATATTAAAGTCCAGTCAAGACATGTCACTGTGGTATCCCCACCTATTTATTCAGCCTCTGTATAACACAATTTGTACACTTGGGTTGGATCATTGTGTGTTTTAAAAGTTCATCTGTCCCTGTTAAGTGCTCTCTCCAGGCTGCTGTGTTTTAGTCATGTTGTGAAATGAACTGTTGATATCACACAGACAAAAATGTTACCATTACAATATATGAGCAATAGTATTGGGACACCTATGCATTATGCCTACAGGAGCTTTTGACATCCCATTCTAAATCCATAGGCATTAATATGGAGTTGGTCCCCCCTTTGCAGCTATAACAGCTTCCACTCTTCTGGAAGGCCTACTACAAGGTTTTGGAGTGTGTCTGTGGAAATTTTTGCCCATTAATCCAGAAGAGCATTTGTGAGGTCAGACACTGATTTTGGACAAGAGGGCCTGACTCACGAGTTCATCCTAAAGGTGTTAGATGGGGTTGAGGTCAGGGCTCTCTGTGGGCCAGTCAAGTTCTTCCACACCACACTCACCCAGCCATGCCTTTATGGTGCTTGCTTTGTGCACTGGTGCTCAGTCATGCTGGAACAGAAAAGGGTCTTCCCCAAACTATTCGCACGAAGTTAGAAGCATACAATTTTCCAGAACGACTTGTTCTGCTGAAGCATTAAGATGTCCCTTCACTGGAACTAAGGGGTCTAGGCCAACCCCTGATAAACAACCCCATAGCATTATCCCTCCTCCACCTAACTTTACAGATGGCACAATGCAGTCAGACAGGTAATGTTCTCCTGGCATTCACCAAACCCAGACACGTCTATCAGACTGCCAATAAAGAAGCTTGTCTTGTCACTCTACAGAATACGTTTCCCACTGTTCCAGAGTCCAGCAGCAGCATGCTTTACACCACTCCATCATACGCTTGGCATCATGCCTAGTGATGTAAGGCTTGCATGCAGCTGCTCGGCCATGGAAACCCTGCCATGAAGCTCCCGGTGCACATTTTTTGTGCTGATGTTGATGCCAGAGGAGGTATGGAACTCTGCAGTTATTGAATCAGCGGAGCGTTGGTGACTTTTATGCACTGTGTGGCTCAGCACTTGGTGTCCCGCTCTGTAACTTTACGTGGTCTGACAATTTGTGGTTTCTTAATGCTTCCACTTATCAATAATACTACTCACAGTTGATCATGGAATATCTAGGAGGGAAGAAATTTCACAAACTGACTTGTTGCAATGATGGCATCCTATTACAGGACCACGCTCCAATTCAGTGAGCTCTTCAGAGCGACTGATTCTATCACAAATGTTTGTAAAGGCAGACTGTAGGGCTAGGTGCTTGATTTTATATAACTGGCAATGAGACTGAAAACACCTGAATTCAATGATTAAGTGAATTCAGAATTAAGTGATTGTTGCCCATAAAGTGTATTATTGATTGAATCAGTGTTTCATATAACATACACAATGTTCTATGTCTTGGATAATGGAGTTGTTATGAAATCATTCTTGTAACCATTCAAGTAAGAAGTAAAATTTTGTCACAAATTTCCAAGCATGTGCAGATCACAGTAATGAAACAGTACATTTTGTATGGTTTTGCCTCCAATTTTTTTGTCTGTATTTCAGCACAATGTGTTTGAAGTGAAACATTGACTGTTAAGTGTCTGACTGTTTTATGTCTTTGTGTTTCTCTTGTAGAAATGTATGAAGTTTAACGTGGAGGCACCAATCTGGCTGTCTAAGCAGCGCATCCTTTGCACACTGAACCAGAGCCTGAAAGATGTGTTGAATTACGGCCTGTTCCAGCCTGCGTACAATGGCAAAGCCGGCAAATTCCTGGATGAACAGCGCACGCTGAAGGAGTACCCTCTACCAGCCATTACCCCTATACCATACCTGGAGGTAAGATCACTAGTTTTCTCCTCTTTATCTGTCTTCACTACCTAATATCACTGCTCTGTTATTGGGTCTGTCTGTCTGGGTGTATGTTTGTGTGTCTGTGTATGTGTGTGCTTGTGTGTGTGTGCATGTTTGTGAGCTTGTGTGTGTGGAGGGGTCTGGGTGCATATGTGTGTGTGTGTGTGTGTGTGTGAGAGAGCGTGTCTGTGTGTGTATGCTTGTATGCCTCAATGTGCGTGTGTGTGTGTGGTGGGGGGAGGGGTCTGGGTCTGTGTGCATGTTTGTGTGTGTGTGTGTGTGTGTGTGCATGTATGTTTGTGTGTGTACATTTTCAGGACAAAAATGTCCTGACTTTATATGGAAACCTAATAAAATTAGGAATTATATAAGCTTCTTTTTTATATTATATAAGTTTCTTTTTTAAAACTCAATCAGGGAAAATTTATTTTTTTCGTTTTTCATTTGGTGCTCTTGGGCAGTAGCTCTATTGCTTTGGCTTTGTTGACATCTGAGAAGAAGTCCCTTCGTAGCAGCACTGAAAATCCAAAATGGAATAAATGCTAATATAACGAAAGTCTAAGCACTACCTTTTAAACAATTCATTCCCACTGGCTATAAATAAACACATAAAAGAGAGACGTAATGATACACAGTCAGTCAGAGACTGGGTTGTGGTTTTAATGGCGATTACATATTGTTATTAAAAAGAAAAAGTGTTGGCATGGTGACACCAATGGCGAAAATAGATTATCACCAAAGGAGAGCTTTAGCATTGTTGATTGTTTATTTAAGGTAGACAAGGGCCAAAATAGGTTCTATACTATGTAATTTTTTTGATGTACAACACTGGACTTGACAATGAGACGTTTGGCATTCATAGCTCCCAAAAAATCAGGTTTAGCTCCCCGCTGCAATCCATTGCAAACTGAAAACTGGGAAATGTTGAATTCTAGCGGTTTTTCCATCACTGTTTAATCGAAAACAATGGGAATATCCCCTTTGCTGCTGTCTGTTTACCACCTGCATGTAAACACAGAGCTAGGCGTGTTAGGTGTTCAGACAGTGGTGCGTATTCTGCAAAAAATCCACATCTGAACCACAAGGAGCCTCCTGTGACAAATTTTGCAAAGCAGAGAAGGAGTGGAGTGGAGTGGACCTTTATGGTGGTATAGGCGGGACTTTTGACACCGCATTAGGCCTGGGCGACAGGCTGATGTAATCAGATGTCGTCGATGATGGATAAGTAACCCGATGGTGATGTGTAAAAGGCGATAATCTGCATTTTGGGAAAAGAGCAGAGAGAGAACTAGAGAGGACTAATTTACCGTTAAACATGTTGTGAATATTGTAGCATTTTATGCTATACAAGAAGACGCTGCGGTTTCCACACAAACTGTTGAGCTTTATTTAAGGCTGTATTTGGCTCCAGCCTTGCCTCACACATGGAATGGTTCTTCTTTTGCTCTCAGCCTCTCTACCTCTATCTTGCTTGGCTGCAAATGATAAAACTGATGCTCTCTTCTTAAACTAAGCATCAACACAACGAAAGAAGGATTCACAATAAGAGTCCTTGTAGAAATGAACCCAGAAAATAACTGCGGCAGAACAGATAATTCATAATAAATGTGTAAACATTTTCTGAAATCACTACAATAGTTGAAATTGCCCAGTTTGGAAACTGGGGTTCACGTTTAAGCGCTGTGCAGGCATACACCCCAATAGTCAGTTTTGTTTTTGTTTTTTGTTTTTTTCTGTGAGGGAGGAATATTAAGAAGCAGTCTGGTTGTCTCTACTATGGGGTGTAATGCTAGCTTTACTGCCCGGCTTCTTACTTTACAGAACGTTAACTTAAGCTTGCCTAAAAGTGACTCGCAGCAGTAAGAAAAACGAGCTAAAGGCACTGGATATTACTCTAGAGCAGCTAGGTTAGCTGTAACCTGGAGGCTAATGTTTGTGACATGACTGAAATGTGCAGTATTTTCTGTCTATTATGTCAGGTGAAGTTTCCAAAGTTATTCGGTTACTCAATATTATATTATGTTATATTATATTATGCTATATGTGGTTTTATATGTTTAGACTAAAGAAACCAGCACTTATTGCACTTTCAGAGGAAAAAGATGGAGGAAAAAGTCCACCTGGTTTAGTTCTTCCTAATCAGCTTATGTAAATATTAACAACATTAACAAGTGCCTTAAACACCACACCCAGCTAGCGAAGAGCCTTCAACATATGGGGGCAGTGTGAGGGAATACTGATTGAGGGAGGGGAGAAAGCTTTGAGAACTTGAGCTGGAAGTCTGGGTGGCTTCTGCCTGGAGCTGGACCCCCCGCTCCCTTTTTAACTGTGGTAGGGCTAAAATAGGCCACCTGATACAATGTGACGTAAGCCTAGTGTATGCTGCCATGCTAATGAACAAGCAACTCAAGCTGGCACTGAACGAGGGTCTGCGTGCACAGCAAAGTGTTGCTGCCGCGGTGGCTGTCGGATGCCAAGCTGTTGGCCACTTTAAACATTCCGCCTTGGCATTTTCCTGCCAGGCATACACTGTACACTGAAATTTTTTTCTGTAAAGGCTGTGTTTCATGTGGCATGTCAGTTGGACTGAGCATTTCTTGCAGGCTGAGCAAATAAATCTTAGACCTTGTCCATACATGATGGTCTGTTCAAACAGTGTGAGTCACCTAATAAATAAAGATTTGTAAAATCGTGCAGTGTGTGCGCCTAACTTTAGAGGACGTTCAACTACAGCTCAACCAGCCAAAAAGACTCCAACAAAACTCGACAGGTGAGACTGTTGTTGAAAAAGGCAGATGAGGAGCAAGGGATCAAAACTATGAAATGTACTTCACTTACAGCTGTACAGAAGCGCTTTACTGATAACTAATGGAATGTAGCTAGCTAATGCACATCATTTAAAGTCAGCTGGATTTTAACAATTTAATTTAATAAACATACTCGTACTTGGTCTGAAAAAATGGCATCAATGCGTCCCTACTTTCACTGTTTAAAGTTGGTAAGGTAGCTAGCTGCCACCAGACACTGCACTCTTGTTTGGACTTTGGTATAAAAAATGAAAGCAAAATGAATGTTGATATTTCTTTTAACTTCTATATCACCTTTATATTGTATCATGACATTTGTGTATCAGGACAATCCTAGAATATTTGTGTGCTGTATGTGCACTCTCAGCTTGCAAGACTCCACCAAACCCCTCACTTTTCCTCCATTCCTCTCATTCCATTGTGTTGTTTGAGAAACAAGAAGCAGGTCATGCAGTTTGATTGCAGAAATGTGACCTGCAGCTGGCATGTTTTCATTCACAGACATACACACATTTATTGAACGCGATATTTCTTTTGAGGTTGTATATGACAGTTCGACAGATAACATCACACTGAACATCAAAGCCAATGACAAACAAAAACTGTGTGTGTGTGTTAGTTACCAGTAGTTCCCTATTTGATGCTGTAGCTGTCTGTGAATTTGTAATGGCATCTCCTTTCTCCCTTCTCTTTCCCTCTGCCAGAGTAGTTGGGGAATACTATTATCATTTCACTTGATTTATCACTTTAATTAAGACTGTAGGTCCAGAGAGAGAGAGAGAGAAAGGGAGAGAGGGAGGGAGCTGAAGCGTTCCGTACATTTCATGAGATGCCTTCTCCATATTTCTACCAAAAACTGAAAGTGCTTTCAGTGGCTTATGACTCAGGCTAATTTGACACAAATTCATGAATGATGACAAATGCTAATGCTAATACTAAACTCAGTGCACAGCTAAAGTGCCAAATGTGAGTGAAATGCCACGTGTTGTGTGTTTGCCCATGTGTGTTTGTGTATGACTGGATGCCAGTGCACGTGAGTGGGCCACAGCTGGACACGTTGCCATCAGTGCCAATGGCAAAGCAGTGACACGCCTCATACAGTGGAAGCCTAGCTTCATGGTTATAGCTCCCATTATGCCATAGAAGGGGATTTATCGACACACCAGCTGCTCTATAGATCTAGCACACACAGCACTGACAAATTGTGCTCCCCTACAGGGCCACAGCCAGGCCAGAGATAGATTAGGAGACGGATAGATGGGTAGATGAACTGGGTGGGTAGTTCCAGCTCCCTGGGAGGGAGAGGGGAGTTGATATTGGGTTGGATGAGTAAACGGGTAGAGCTCTATCACGGGAGGGGAGAGGGCTGGGCGGCTGCGGGACCGGCCCAGGCCGCGAGGCTGTGGGACTGAGCCTGTTCACGTGAGTGGGCAGTGCAGCAGTGTTGATTAGCCCAGTAGAACTGATTGTATTCTGGATGTGTCTGCAGTATGAGCAGGAATACGTTGTTAGTGCTAATGGTGTTTAGCATGATTCCAAATTTTCTGTCGCTCTTTGCATCTCTCTGGTCCTGATGGCCGTCAGGTACAGGACAGAGGTATTCTGGGTAGTGCTGAGAATTCTGGTCTCGGCACACTGGTACTGCTACTGCAATCGGCAAAAGACACACACAACACACCACCCTGCTTCTGTGGTGAGTCCTTTATATTTGCATTGTTTATTAGAGTTACATAATATACCGTTTATTTGTTATTGTGATGCTAAGCTTTGCAAAACTGATATATTGCAGAAGGTGACAAATGCAAATGTCTAGAATGTTTTACTGTGTGCTGTGAGCACCTTGACCAATCTGGTTTCCAGATCAGCTTCTTGTGGATGTTTTGGTGAGTTGAGATGTTCATGTCACCTGGTCAATATATTGAAAGACATATTGTAATCATAGTGCTAGTATGTAATCGTAGTACCACAGTTTTGATTGTATCATGCAGAGCTAATGTCTGTGCTGGGGAGAAAGTCAGTTCCAGTTGCTAAGATCTGCTAGAAACATCTGTTTTGGGTGTTTAGTGTGGCCTTGATTGAAGTAGCTATTTTATAGCAATTTTTTTGTTGTCTATTTGTTAAGTAGGCAGTTTTATTAGGGATGTGCACAGGTAATTGAGCACTTGGTTAAATGCTCGAGGTGCCAGTGTTTGCATACTGAAAAGACTATTCAGGTATCCTTTGCGATTCATCATGGAAAGATGGAAAAAATGTACAGTTCAGTCAAACACAACAGTTTTACTTGTATTTGCAAGTATTTTGTTATATCGCTACTCCAAAATATGAGTGCCTTAACATGAGTGTGTTGCTAAGGAGGTGTTAAGGACGTAGCTGAGAAAGCAGAGAGAGTGCATACCATTATATCACTAACTAGGCTAACTACTCTGTCTAATGTTAGCTAGGTCCAGAAACAACGAAAGTATATTTCTCTGACAAATAACGTGTTGGTACATTGTCCACCGAGGAGAAAATAAGAAAACCAGTCCTCATCCACATCCAGCATGACACTGGTCAGCTCTGTTGGCTCATTAGCTTGTCTGAAGAGGCAGCCTTCATCACTTGTCCAATATCCATTCATGAACTCCAGGATTTGAGGAAACTCAAATATCAATTAGTAAAAATGCACATCTCTAGTTTTCATTTACTCTGTAGTCTTACACTCAGCTAGTTGGAGTTGTGTACATTAAAGATATTTCTTATTATGATCAGTTTTAGGGTGATTCAAATATCAGTCACTCTTACCCAGGCTCCTCTCTTCTTCAGTGTCTGTCATATCCTATCACTACCTCCTGCCATGTATGTGTGTGTGTGTGGGGGGGGGCCTAAATGTCCCAGGGATGGTAGAAATGCATGAAAATACTGACCTTTATGCAGACATTTGACAAATCTTCCTCCTTACCACAAACATAGCCAGTTTTCCAAAGACGCACATTAAGCGTCCAAAGTTTGCTTCTTTAGTTTTGCACAGGCGCTTCAAGGCAAATATAATAGGCTTTGTGACTCTGTAATGAAGGTGGGCCAGTCCTTTTTATCTACAGTAGCCTTGTAGCTCCAGTGCAGTACTTCGTACTTTGACTTCAAATTTGCATTTATGTATTTGACAGATGCTTTTATCCAGAGTGACTTACAGTTTTGATCATGAGTAGAAGTCTGCGCAGGACTGATTTATTTATTTATTCATTCATTCATTCATTCATTCATTCATTCATTCGTTCGTTCATTTATTTATTTATTTATTTATTAATGGTCCCGTTCATGCTAGATTTAATTGTGCTCCCGATCACAACCTAAACTTTATTGTCATGTATTCGCATTTTTTAAAAGCACTTCCCACAGCTGTGGCCATCTGACTGTTTGAATGCTTCTCCCTCTCCGTAGCCTACAAGAATGAAGTTGCCATGTTGTTCCTCTGATTGGTTGCTTCTATTTAAGAAGTTCTATTTAGAATGAGTTTATTCATTGTAAATGAATTTTGCTGTTAGACATGATTTTTATATGCTCAGTATAAAGAGACGGGTATTATCAATTTTTTGGCTGTTCATTGTTTTGTGAGATTCCTCTACATATGTGTTGTCCTGCTCCTGCCCCCTCTGGGCTGGTTGAGCACCCGCTTCTGCGGTTGACACTGAACATTAGCACTAGACTGCAAGATTATGTAGTGGGTCCCACAGGAATGCAGACCTCTATTACAGAGGTAGGCAAAGTAGTGTTAGGGGTCTTGCCCAGGGCCTATTACTTGTAGAGTATGAAGTGCTTGTTCGGGCAGTGAATCAAACCCCAGTCTACTGTATGGAGGGCAGCCATATTATCCACTAAGTGAATAAACGTGTCTTGGCCATTCAACTGCGCTTTGATAAGGAGAAGCTTGTGTAACTTTGAATTTTTGGTGAACCGTTCCTTTAAGATTGGGTTTGAATTTAGATAGGTAGCCATAGCAGTGTGCAGTATTTGCCATAGACGTACACAAAATCAGTGGAAGTACAGAATACAAACATGGCTTGTCAGTTAAACCCTTAAACTTTTATTCAGCCTTTTTATTTAGTTATTATTCTTTATACCTATTAATTAGTTACTGTAAAATATTTAATAACTACAAAAACTATGAGACTTATTATTCAGTTACTGCTGTGAAACTAAGGTGAAAGTTATGTTATGAGCACGAAGAAATGAATTGAGGCCCTTAGTTTTATTCATATTTTCTACATTTTTTTTCTATGAGACATAATTTTAAGAGACGAATGGCGCAATACCTAAAATTCTGTGATCCTGTTTTATTTTACAGTTTCGCTACAAGAGACGTGTTTACACACAGACCCACCTGGATGACAAGCAGCTGTCCAAACTGCACACTAAGGTAAGGGATGAGGTTTTCTTATGTCAGTGTGAGAGTGCTCTCGCGCTGCTGCAGATATTCCATACTGTTTGACCTGTCCTTTTTAGCTTTATGCTGTGGTGGCCAGATTTCTGCTGAGCTATGGGTAAAAATTGTTTGAGGAGATGGAGAATGTCAGCATCTTGTTGCATTTGCTTGTGTCATGTACTTACTTGTGGTGAAAACCACTGTAATAAACATTGAACATCTCTGGCAAATAATACATGTACTGTCAGTAAAATTGACCATGGTCAACTGCTCTAATAAAATGTTGATAATGTGTGTTTTTTTAGGTCTATCAGGTTAAAATCCCCAGAGAGGATCATTCAGACAGTCCTCAGCCCATCTAATCTAAAGAGCCTGAGTTATACGATTAATCAAAATGAGTCATTACCGCAATAAATGAAAATCAATTTTGGCCAAATACCAATTTCAGAATCATCATCTCCACTGGAAACTCCTGTGCAGTCCAATTCCATTTACACATGCAGTTCTTTCTGGAGGTATTTCCTAATGGACTGAGAGGATTTCCTTGTGTAAGCGTTTTGCTGCTATCTGAAATAACGGTGAGCTGCTCAGGTGCTTGTGAATTTATGGGTCACAAATTAATGCTTGTGTTTTTACTGGGCCATTTTGCAGCCAGCTGATGTGAGACTGGTTTAAAGACATAGAGCCTGTTCCCCAGACCCAGATTAAGCATTAAAGTGTGATTTTGTACTGGTGAAACAGTGCTGTAGCTGTAGTTTGTGTAGCTCTTAGCTGTTGCTGAGCCACTGTTATGCATAGCACGTTTGGCCTTCTAAATAAGCTAACTGCAGATTAGCTAGCAGGCTACAGCTCCAAATACCACAGAATATGTTTGACTTCCTCTTTCTCTCCAACACTAGTCACTTGAATTTGCTCTCTTGAGACATAAGTTTTTACTGTCTGCAACACAAGTTAATAAAATCAAACCTGTACTGTGGTGCGTGGCATTGACTGGATCTGTAGGCTACTCGCTAAACTAACATTAGGTTAGCTAGACAGTTACATATCCGAACACCACAGAACAGTTTAACTTTGGCTTTCTGTCCCTCCAACATCTGTCGCTTGACTTCACTCAATCAGATTTGAGTCATTATCTTGTAAACTTGTCAGTGGTACTTTAGTCAGTCGGAATCAAACCTGTTCTGTGGTGAATCATAGATATACATACATAGATGCTGCATTGTCTGTTGTTCTCCATCTGAGGCGATTCGTCTGCATGTCCGCCATGTTGGATTGAGATATGATGAGTTCCTATAATTTAATAACTTACTTATTACTCAACCGATTTTCACCAAATTTGGTTTGTTATAGTCCTCAGACAGATTAATCTTAGTCCCATCGGCTGATCTCGGTAGCTTTTATTTTCATTTTATAACTGTGATTGTGCTGGTTAGCTGTCCAGAGCAGTTAAAAAACGAGTTTAGTGCGAACACCGGTAGAATGATAATCTTACACACACATCAGCAAATCTGTCAATGTGAAATCACTTCCAATCTTAATGCACATAAAAAGAAATAACGCCCCAAAAACAGTAAGAAGGGCAAACCTAAAGTTGGCTTCCTATTCACCTTGTCTGAATTTTCCCGTTCCACCTTAAATGGTGCAGCAGTTACATTCTGGTGCCTGAGGCTGCACCATTTAAGGTGGAACGGGAAAATTCTAACAAAAGCTGGCGAAAAAGAAGCTAATTTCAGCTTTGTGTAAGAAGGTGCTAATCTATTGTGAATATCTACACAGATTATGGAATGCTATAACTTACCTAGCTACAGTGCTTATGCAGCATTAACAATCATTGTAAATAAATAAAGAACTACTACATCAAGTTAATATCCTCTGTATAGGCTTTTAAATGAAATAAGGTTCATATAAAACCAGGGTAAAACAATCACACCAATAGGTGCTTTACCAACCACATGATTATATCTACACATAAACATCACACAAACATGAGTGTGGATCACTGCATTCCTTCCGTTATGTAATCCTCTCCCACTTTGAGTGCAATATTCTTGAAATAGTCTAATTTTGGACAGTACCTTTTCTTAAGCTCTGTAATGGTACTGAATGCAATCCAGCAGCGATACTGACCACCCCAAAATGGTGGCGCTGTTGATGCGCTTGGCTGAGCCCAACACAGCATCAATGTATGTAGATCTTTGTGGTAAATAGAGCTGTTATCATTGCTAGCTAAGCTAATGCTAACCAGCACATTTCTCCTAGTTAGCAGCATCATTTAACATTTAGCAGTTGTTGTTAGATTGATGGTTTAACATTTACAGAATGATGGATTTACTTTTTTAGTGACTGTGTAAGTGAACTGAACTTTTTATTTAATTGTTTCATGAAATAACTCAGGATAAAATGGCCCTAGTAAATGTAGAACCAATCAGTGAATAGCTACATCCTCAAGTTAATACCATCTATTATGGTGATAATTGGAGATTGTTGGAAAGTATGAAAAACTAATTCATTATTGGCCGTTATTGGTGTTAATAAACCAGGCCCTGAGGCTGCCCATGTAATGAGAGGTTTATGTAAGACATTCTGAATACAGATAGTTCTTATCTCATTCAAGCTGCAATCTTAAGCTAAAGTAGCTTGGAATATGATTTGTTTTCTCGCATAGTAACATTATGATGCCGTTATGCAGAGGGTGATTAAATCATTGAGCAGGTGTTTAGTTGCTGGACTGCTCCATCTCTTGCCCGCGTGGGGGAGGGGGTTCAAGCTGACGAGAAGATGGTCTCAATGACTGCTAATCCTCTTATCTCACTGACATACTGCTTTTCATTTGCTGAAAATGCACGTTCACACACACGCACACTGACTTTTGTCAGTACATGTAGCAGAGTTGTGTGTGCTGTGATGTGTATTAACGTGAAACACACTAGCACATTTCTAGTACTTTCTTTAATCCAAGTTCCTACATAAGTAACATTGTTTACTATACATAAAAGCCTGAATGAAACATCAGTGGCCTGTTTAAATAACACAAATCAAAAAGAGTCTATGTCTGCACTGTCAACTAGACATTTGATTGGAGGTGTTGATCCGTACCAAATTGATAAGTTATCTTTGTGTCAATTATGCGTGATTGCATGCGATAACATCCATATCTGTAATTACCATGTAAATACTGCATCGGCTTGCACATCGATAAAACATACAAATTGCTAGATAATGATGTAATTAACAGAATTTCAACTGTGGAGGGGTCTGCAGTATTCTGTCTGTACTATCAACTACATGATCAAATGTTGTTGTGATTGCAGAAGTGTGTAATAGTATCTATGTCTGATGGGGTTAGTTAGCTTAAGTTATGTGATCCTGCTAACATTTTGGCATTAACTGCATTCATTGTCTAGCTAAAGCATCTGAGATATAGACATAAATACTTCAGTTCGGTCATCAGTCAGTGTCAGCTGTCAATCGTGAACAATTCTCAACACTTGAAAATGATCAAGGGCAGAACTACAGAATTCATTATTCACCAAGCTGTCTACCTGTGACATGTGTAGGGAGATGGCTTGAAAGTTTTTGTGTTTATTCTCGCTATCCAAAGATTTCTCCTTTGCTGGCTCAGCTTTACAGCCTTTTTTCCTCACTATGTTGGACACCCATGATGCCTTAAAAGCTTATACTATTTTGTTGCACACTGTGGCTATATTTTATCTGTCAGGATGCTATCGTGGTTTAGAAATGGTGGCTCTGTGAGCACTGCTGTCACCGCTGTCATTGCTGTGTTGACCGGTGTTACGTCAACAATGTGACGTCAATTAAATGCTATAGGTGTAGCATCAACAGTTAGATACAGCATGATTGCACTGTTTAGGGCTAGCCCAATTTAGCCTTGTTTGGTAGTGATTTTTCATGTAGGTGATTTACCATGTTAAAAAATCTCAATTAACAGTGTAACTGGAGCAGATAAAAAAAAACTGACACACGAAAAAATAAAAACTTAAACCATGGAGTGGTACTATTGAGTGTCATTAGTTTTAAAAAACAGGGGTATCACGTGGCAGCACGTTTCTGTCGAACAACCAGTTATGAATAGTGCCATCTTGAACAAGCTTTATCCAGTTATGTGTAAATAAATAATAATAATGTAGCTATGCTGAAGCCATGTGAAGTTGCTTCTTGCACTGCCAGCTGTGAGAAAATATCGACCAGTGCTCTTAAAACCGTATTTTAACAAGCAACTTAGGTACTTAATAGCTACTTAAAGCAAAATTAACAAGAAAAACCTGAAAGTAAAGTCTCATATATTTTCACCATTTAAAAAAAGCAAGTTCAGGAGTTAAATGGCTAACTTGCACAATTAATAAAATCAGTCAGTGTCACTGGATATCTTGGCAGTGTAAGATTGTATAGAGATGATCAAATTGTTATATCGCCCAAGTTTAGCCCAAACAGCCTTTTACAGGCTTAGAATATTTGCTAATATTTCATTTGTATTTAGTTCTCAGATGATCCTCTCCAAATCACCCTTAGAACCAACAGTATCATATTTGAAGCATTTGTTTGTCTGATGAAACAGACAGCCTAAGCTTCCAGTTTAATCAGTGTTTTAGTCCACACGACCGCTAGATGCGTGTCTAGCATTTGTCAAACCATGAGCCCTAGTCAAATAGCACACTCTCACTTTCTGTGGTATTTAAAATAATAATCTACTAAAATGTGGTGACTTTGTTGGTGAGGCGGTTGCAGAGCAGCTTCTGTGCTGTAGTAATGGTGTGTGCAGGAGACTCTTATCTGGCACCAACAGATGTAAGAAATTGTGATTTGAACACCATAAACAGGTCTGTGTTGTTAAGTTTTAAACCTGCTGTTCAACAAAACCTAATGTTCCTGCTGTAAAACTGTTTAACAAGACCTAATATTCCTGCTGTAAAACTGTTTAACAAGACCTAATATTCCTCCTGTAAAACTGTTTAACAAGACCTAATATTCCTCCT